CATTAGTCATCAAGAAAATGCAAATCAAACCACAATGAGATAACACTTCACATACAAGAATGGCTATCAACAAAAAGACAGATAAGACAAGTACTAGATAAGATGTAGAGACATTGGAATCCTTATATGCTGTTCTTGGCATTGTAAATGGTGTGGTCACTGTGAAACAGTTTGGGAGTTCCTGAAAATGTTAAACATGGAGTTACCATTTGACCCAGAAATTCCACTCCTAAGTATACATACCCAAGGGAAATGAAAACATAAGTCCACCCAAGAATTTGCACATGAATATGCCTAGCATCATTATTTATTATAGTCAAAAAGTAAAAATGCCCTAAATGCCCATCAACTGATGAATGGATAAATAAAATGTGATATAGCCACATAATAAAATATTATTTGGCAAGCCAGAATGACTACTATCAATAAATCAACTAAGAACAAGTACTGGCAAGGATGTAGAGAAAAGGGAACCCTAGTACACTGCTGGGGGAATGCAGACTGGTGCAGCCACTGTGGAAAACAATATGATGTTTCCTCAAAAAATTAAAAATGGAACTGCCACTTGACCCAGCAATCCCACTTCTGGGAATATAGCCAAAGAATCCTGAAACATCATCAGAAAGAATATATGTGCCCCTATGTTCATAGCAGCATTATTTACAATAGCCAAGATCTGGAAACAGCTCAAGTTGCCCATCAGTAGATGATGAGTGGACAAAAAAGCTGTGGTACATTTACACAATGGAATCCTATGTAGCTGTAAAAAGGAAGTATCTCTTACCTTTTTTGACAGCACGAATGGACCCAGAGATTATTATGCTAAACAAAATAAACTAGTCAGAGAAAGACAAATATCACATGATCTCACTTATATGTGGAATCTAATGAACAAAATAACCGACAAACAAAACAGGATTAGAGGCATGAAAGCATGGACTGAACTGACAGATCTCAGAGGGGTAGGGTGTGGAGTGGGGACTAGAAAAGATTAACCAAAGAACATACATGCATAACTCATGGATACAGATAATAATGTGGCAAAGGCCTGGGTGGGGGCTGGGGTTGGGTGGAGGGGGGCAAATTAAGATATCTGTAACAGTGTCAACAATACAAATAATTTTTCAGAAAGGAATGAAATACTGATATGTGCTCTAACATGGATAAACCTGGAAGACATTATGCTAAGTAAAAGAAGCCAGTCTCACAAAAAACATATACATTGTATGATTCCACTGAAACATCTAGAAGAGACAAATCCATGAAGACAGAAAGTAAATGGCTGACAGGGCTGGGGAGGAAAGAACTGAGGGACTGTTAATGGCTATAGGGTTTCTTTTAGGGGGACAAAAATGTTCTAAAATTAGATTGTGTGATCATTTAAAATGCTGTGACTAATGAAAACCACTTTATTGTACATTTTAAATGGGTAAATTGTATGGTGTGTGAATTATATATCAATAAAGCTTTTTTTTAAAGGGCATCATTAAGAAAACAAAAAAAAGCCTGGCCGGTGTGGGTCAGTGGTTGAGCTGTCAACCCATGCACCAAGAGGTTGCCAGTTTGATTCTCAGTCGGGGCACATGCCCAGGTTGTGGGCCCAATCCCCAGTGAGGGGCATGCAGGAGGAGGTCAATCGATGTTCTCTCTCATCGATGTTTCTACCTCTCTCTCTCCCTCTCCCTTCCTCTCTCTTTAAAATCAATAAAGAAAAAAAAATTTTTTTTAAAGTAAGCTATAGAATGGAAGCAAATATTCATACTACATACATCTGACAAAAAAACCAGAATATATCGGGAAAATGCAAATTTAAACCACTAAGAGATACTACTGCACTCCCAATAAAATGGCTAAAATTGAAAAAACTGGAAGTGTCAAGTGTTGGCAAGAACGGGAAGAACAGGAATTTACACTGCAGGTGAAAATGTAAAATGGTAAAACCACTTTGGAAAACTGTCTGGCAGTTTCTTTAAAAAATTCAAAATAAGACCTCATATACAGCCCACTCATTCTACTCCTAGGTCTTCACCCAGATATACACCCACAGCAAGGCTTGTACATGAAGGTTCATAGCAACTTTATTCATAATAACCCCCAAACTGGAAACAACCCAAATGCCTACCAACAGGTAAGTGGATGACATGAGAACTATCCAGAACAAAGGAATACTGCTCAGCAATAAGAGAGAATGAACTACTGATCCACACCACTACATGGATGAATGTCAATAATCTTGATGAGTGAAATAAACCAGACACAGAAGTGTGCATGCTACCCATATATACACTATAGAAAATGCAAAAGAATCTCTACTGAGTGAAAGTGGACCACTGGTTGGCTGGGATCAGAGGTGAGGAAGGACAACTTCAAATGGCCACAATGAATCTTTTGAAGTGATGGAAATTTCCTGTTCTTTATTGTGGAGGTGGCTTCCTGGGCATGATTCTCTCACATTCATCACTGAATTGTTCAGTTTAAATGGGTATAGTTAATTGCATGCAAATTATAACTCAATAAATCTGATTTTACAAAGTAATGAGAACCAATGAAAAGAGGATTCACACAAGTTAAGTGTATAATTAGCATATCCAGGGTTTATGTAAATAGTGCCTCTAAAATGTTTAACAATGGCCCTGGCTGGTTTGGCTCAGAGCTTAAGAGTGTTGGTCCACAGACCAGAGTCCCGGATTCGGTTCCCACTAAGGGCATGTACTTCGGTTGTTGTTTGTTCCCGGCCCCATGGGGTTGTGTGGGTGGCAGCAAGTCAATGTGTCTCTCTCACATCGATGTTTCTCTCTCACTTCCTCTCTCTCTCCTTCCCGCTCTATCTGAAGATAAATGCAAAAATGTCTTCGGGTGAGGATAAAAAAATAAAATGAAACTAAAATGTTTAACAACGCACTTAGTTTTTTCCTTAGGTACTTCATTTTCTCTAGATATGAATTTGTGATTAATTTGCCTGACAAACCTCACCCAGTGTCCCCCAAGAGTTCATTCTAGCCCCATTCCTCTCTGCATGAATACAGATTCTGAATGTGTGTGGCCTATATTAAGGATAATTGCTAAAGAGTCGAAAATATGATAGCAAAGCTCAGTGAGGGGTGAGGACAGTTGTGCTGACAGAGTGATATCCAAACTTTGTTCTAAGGTTCATTCTGTTCCAAACTCTTCTATGCTCTCACAAAAACCAACCTTTTACATAAACTTCTGCTGGTAAGTGCACAGATGGCCTACAATAGTTCAACTTACAACTTTATCTGCAGAGATATACTGATGAAATTATATGGATGTCCATAACATGGATGTCTGCACTGAGGACCTACTATTTTTGGCAGACCATTTCCCACACATTCCTCTCATTCAATACTCACTATAGCCTGCTAATGTAAATATTATTGTGATCTCCACTTTTTTTCCAATTAAGGAAACTGATATTCAGAGTACAGTTATTTGCCCAAATTCACCTAGCTAGTAAGAGGTAGGACTGAGATTTACATAACTGGGGTGTTTTTTAACTGATGTAAGTGACAGTTCAACAGAGAATTAAAAGTATTAATTTTTTTTTTTTGCATCACCAACAAAAAAGCACACATTTGAATGCATTACTAACACTTTGTGGGGCTCTTTCTTGTCACCAGAAGGTCATTCTTCCTATTAGGCAGTCAGTATTTGGTGGGAAATTGATTCACTTGCTTCTTTAAGAGCAGATTCTATACAAAAGGAAGTCACACAAGCTTCCAGAGAATATCTTCCAGGGAATAGCTCTTCCTACAGAGAGCTACCAACCTGTAGGAAGAACCAGAAAGGTGGCAAACTATAAAACAAACAGGATATGAAAGAACTAGGAAAGAGCGCACTTAGGCAGTTGGGAGTTGGCATGAAACCAGCAGTTAAAACCGCTTCACTGCCAGGCTCAGGGCTGACAATAACACACAAATCTGTAGAACTGCTGGTTACCACCATGATCCCCCATTAAGGTGTTGTTTAAACATTCATAAGGGAAAGAAGAGAAAAGGTAAAAAGTAAATTGTCAGACTAACCCTCAATTCTTCTAAATACCTTTGGCAATCCAAAGCCTGAAAATCATGAATATAATAATAAAATTTAAGCATATATTCTGATCTTCCACAAAAATCCTCTTCAGTCACTCAGCTCAATAATATGGTATTTCAGAATTTATTTTCTCAGGTCATGGTTCAAGTATAACATTCTTGCACAGTTTTCATCACTTAATTCTAATAAATCTAGTCCTGAACTACTCCTAGGAATTCTATCACTTAGAGTGAAGCATCTGTGTAAGGAAGGAGGCTAATTTCATCTTACATTTAAAGAATACCTGTTCAAGTACAGTCGCTACCTGACTATTCAGCTTTCTCATTTCCTCCCTCTTCTGGTAATCCCCAGTGTTACTTGAATGCAGAAATCCTATATTGGGGGTGATAATGTCAAGGTCTAACTCCAGTCATACTTTTCTTATTCTGGCATGAGCTCCAGTTCAGTCACAAGTGTGTGTATCTGCCATTAGAGGAGCAGAGGGAAGGGACAGAACACACAGCTGCCCTCGGCTGCTTCTTCCCCTAGCCACCCCAGAAATGAAGATGAGGGTGAAACTTCCTCCTAGAGACAAGAGCAGAGTGTACTTCACAGTGGGCCCACAGAAGTGTTTTCAGGAAGCAACATTTGAATATTACACATTAAAAAGCAAAACAGTCATCCTGAGGGTAGGTGCACCCTACAATGGTACCATTGAATCCCACTGTGGAAAATTCAGATTTTCAGTCTAACCCAGCAGCTACAGGCTAGACCAAGTGAGGCCTGCAGCCTCCTATGTTCGGCAAGCTGTCTTTAGCTGTGTACCAACATCTCCAATGTCCCACAGCCCTCACCACTCCCTACTGTCTTACCTGGCCCACTACATTAGTTAATTTTATCACCTGGCCCTTTAGGCATTTGAGTTTGCAACCCCTGGTCCACACTCATCAATTTAAAAGGGTACTTACAGCTGCATGACCAAGTACAAGTGATTTGGGCTTTCATAAATGTCTTCTAGGGCAACAATGTTTTCATGCTTAATCCTGAAAGAAAAAAAATGAAACACACACACATAATAAGTATGAGACATGAAAACATTAAAAACAGATGTCATTATAGCAAAAAGTTCTAAACCTTAAAAAAGAACAACAGGCTCAAAATGGAGTCACTTGTGCTAAGCCCCACATCAGCAAAACAAGACTTAATATCTGATCTAATTGCAGTTACAACCCCCAGGAATATGTCACCTTAACTGGTCAGTATGGAATTTTCTGGCTGACATAAGAGGTAATCTGCTACAGAGCCCCCTTCTGTCCTCCATAAATAGATTACCTAAACCTGAAACAATCCATTATTTCCCCTTCTGCCTATAAAATATTTCCATTTTGGTACAGCTCTTCAGATATATTTGCTAGATGGGATGCTGCCTGATTCCTGAATGGATCAATAAAGCCAATTAGATCTTTAAAATTTACTCAACTGAATTTCTGTTATTTAACATAATCCAAACTCCTTAATGTGACATTTAAGACTTCACAATCTTGTCCCTGAACTTGTTTCCAGACCTATTTCTCATTATTTTCCCCCTACTCTCTGCTCCCCTTCATTCCTTCCCAAGGCTTTCTACCCTCCAATGTAGCAATACTGAATTAACTACTGTTGCTTCACATGTATCCCAGTCTTCTTGCATTTATTCATATGAATCTCAAAGATGGGCCAAACCTGTCAAAATCCCATTAACTCATATGGAGAATTTTGTTGTTGTTGATATTCCTCACTCGAGGATTTTTTCCCCCAATGATTTTAGATGAAGTGGAAAGGGAGGGAGAAAGTAAAACATTGATGTGAGCCCTGGCCGGTTTGGCTCAGCGGTTAGAGCGTCGGCCTGCGGTCCAGAGAGACCCGGGTTCGGTTCCCGCTAAGGGTATGTACCTCGGTTGCAGTTTGTCCCCGGTCCTGATCGGTTGTGCGGGTGGCAGCCGCTCAATGTGTTCCTTTCACATTGATGTTTCTCTCTCTCTCTCTCTGTTCCTCTCTCTCCCTCCCACTCTACCTGAACAAAAAATGGAAGAATGTCCTCTGGTGAGGATAAAAAATAAAAATAAAAAATAAAAAAAACATTGATGTGAGAGAGACACATCGATTGGTTGCCTCCAATACTCAGGGTAGGGATCAAACCTGCAACCCCGGTATGTGTCCTTGACTAGAATTAGACCCAAGACCCTTCAGTCCACCAGCTGCTGAGCCAAACCAGCCAGAGCTTGCAGGAAGAATTTAATTCTCCCTCTTCTACAGTTTCTCAATGGTGTCACACACTGGCCTGAATAGTTCACTTTATGCAAATGCATCCCCACACAGGTGAGATGTTCCAGGGGACAGTTTCATTGTCAAGTTCAATTCTCTAGTGTAGGCAAAGGAAAACAGACTGACCCCTCATTGGGACTCTAGTCACCACCACCACCTCTGTCAATTCAGTACCCCAAGCAAAATAGTCAGATGCTGCTCAGTGTGGTTGCCAAACAGGCGGTACTAGCATCTCCTAGGAGCTGGTTAGAAATGCAAATTCTCAGGCCCTCCCCCTCAGACAGAATCAGAATCCGCAAGGGCAGGCCCAGGAATCTGTTTTAATAAAATCCTCAGATGATCTGTATGCCCCAAGTTAAGCTAGAGAAATTCTGTATTAGGCCAGTGCTTCTCAAAGAAAGTGTGCACAGGAAAAACCTGAGGTTCTGACTGCACATCCTGATTGAGCAGGTCTGGGGCAGGGACCTGAGAGTCTGCACCTCTAACATGCTCTCTGGAGATGCCCATGTTGTTGGCCTGCAGACCACACTCTGACAGCAGAGACCTAACTACATAATAAAGGGAGGAAAACAACAGCCTAATGCTAGTACCTGGAACTCCCTTCTAAGAGCTGTTTCCACTAAGAATGTAAGGTCTGATATTTATTTAAAGCATTTGAGAGGAGAATCATTTTATTACTCTATGAGCTAATTAGCTCTTACCACAAGCATTTCACTGAAATGATTGCTGAGCCACCTAAAAGCCAGCATTTAATGAACAAATTCTTGTGAACCCTTTTAAGTAGGAACTACATCTTACTCATTTTGTTTTTCCCTTGCATGTACATCAATCTGCTAAATAAATGTTTCCTGGATAAATGAGATTTAAAGGTTGCTGTTATTAAACAGAAAAAAATCATTATTTAGTTAGGGAAAACAGAGGCAATTTTCCTAAGTGTGAGTGTCTATCCCTCAAAAAGAAATTTACAAGGTGGAACAAACCAAAATATTATCTTGCCTTTGAGTAGATGAAAGAAGTAAACAAAATAGTTAACTGAGAGTGGTGATGCTTTGATTCTACCAGCTTTTATTAGTCAATGCAGTTCTTAGCAAGAGTCGAAATGATAGATTATACTAAATTCACTTTTCACCTGATTTGAATAAGCTTAATTATTTGTTAGCAGTTACTGTGATACCTGAGCAATATCAGCAATATGCTATGTGAACCAAGTAAACTATGCCACCAAGGAAACTGAGACAGATTAATTTGGGACTGCTCAGATCCCACATGTTCATGGAATTATTATTATTGGCTATAACTGAAAGAGTGTCACCACAGAAAATATAAGCATATGGATTTTTCCTTTCATTAATTATTTAAAATTTGCCATTAGAATCAATCACATGGGCACAAATATTTTCTTTCAGTTATTTGAGTTCATTTGAGGGTTAATTAAGAGCTCAGTCTTATGGGAAAATGAAAGGAATGTGGTTTATATGTGGGGCTATCAGGTAAATGCAGGGCACCCAGTTAGGTTTAATTCTGGATAAACAATGAATACATTTTAGTATAAGTATGTCCCAAATATTGCATTGTTGTTTATCTGAAATTCAAATATGACTGAGAGCCCTGCATTTTCATGTACTAACTCTGGCCAACCTACTTACATGAATCACAGTCGATGAGCCTCTACAGCAGGCTTAGAGATTTGTCCCTACAGTGCCAGCTGCCCTTGGAGGATGAGCCAAGAAGGCAGTTTGAGCTTTGGACTCCAGCAATTAGTACAGATTCAACTATACAAAGAATCAGCTACGTACAAAGCACTTGCCCAGCCAAAGCAGGAGGCTTGAATAAATTAAGAATATAACCCCTTCTTCAGAAGCAGGGTTTGGAGAAATTAGTCTATTTACCCTGCCATGTCTTACATGAGTTCTTATAGTGGCTGGAATGACTATTCCTAACTCTACTAACTATTCCTCTTATTCTAATAACTATTCCTCTTAACTAGTGAATCAAGTAATCAAGCAATTGTCATTTACTGACTTTCTATTATGTTTGGGAGAACACAAGAAAAATTCAGTTTTGCCCTCAAAAAAGCTCATCGCCTAGATGGAGAGATCCACAAGGCAAGTAGGAATGAAGTAAATGCTAAGCTGTAGAACTGGTGCTAAGTTCAGAGAAAGCAAGGCCCTGTCTGGGTCAGAATTACAGCAAAGACCTCAAGAAAATAATGGGAGTTGAGCTGGGTTGAGTAATGTTTGAATAAGCACACTTCAGAAATTTTAAAGAAATCCTAAAATACTTAAGAAAAGTATTTTAATTAACTTGTATATGTTAGAACGTGATAGAAAACATTCTGGCCTCCCACAGCTGTTTTCAGGTACTTTATTACACCCTTAGATTCCCTAAGACATACACAAACACTGAACTTCAGATTTTATCATTATTTTAGTACCTACGTTAAATTAATCTTTACAAAAGGTCATATGAATATCCATAAACATGTCTGTGGGTGCCCACCACGTACCAGGGTGCTCACCATGCACCAGGGCACCCACCAAATACCTGTCACAGTACTAGGCATCACGAGAGACATATCTCAGCCTTGTGAAGTTCACACAGGTGGGTATCCAGCTGCAGCTAGGATGCTTCAAAGGCGGTCTTTTCCTATATTTACCAGAATAAACAGTTTCTGTATAATGAGCAGTGACTCCTGGGAGCAACACAGACAAGCTTGCACCCTCTTCTCATATGGCCTGCAAATATTTGACCGATACAATATCTCTGCTTAGCCTTCTCAGCACCAACCAATTCTCCTCCCATATGATTTATATGCCTCCCACATTATGTCACGCTTGTTTGTCCAGACTATAATACTCAAAACTAAAAGTAATAATCGCAGTATAAAATACAAGAATGGGTATTAGCCCTGGCCGGTGTGGCTCAGTTCGTTGAAGTGTCGTCCTGTGCACCAGAAAGTCACTGGTTTGATTCCTGGTCAGGGCACATACCTAGGTTGCAGGTTCAATCCCTGGTCAGGGTGTGTATGGAAGGTAACTAATTGATGTCTCTCTCTCTCATATCAATATTTCTCTCTCCCTCCCCCTTCCTCTCTCACTAAAATCAATAAAAAATAATAAGAATGGGGTATTAACAGAGTAGAACTATTAACCATTATGATGCAGATATTACATTTTTGCAAATAAAGCCTAACATTAGATACTTTTTTTTTTCAAGGTAGCTGAACAACTACTGGCATATAAAGAATATAAGCTCGCCCTGGCCGGTTTGGCTCAGTGGTTAGAGCGTTGACCTGCGGTCCTGAGAGACCCGGGTTCAGTTCCCGCTAGGGGCATGTACCTCGGTTGTGCGGGTGGCAGCCACTCGATGTGTTCCTTTCACATCGATGTTTCTCTCTCTCTCTCTGTTCCTCTCTCCCTCCCACTCTACCTGAACAAAAAAATGGGAAAATGTCCTCGGGTGAGGATAAAAAAAATAATAATAATAAAATAAAGAATATAAACTCTATGGAAGTGCGGATTTTTTACTATTTTGTCCCCTACTGTCTCCCCAGAGTCAAGAAAAGTGTATGGCTGGCAGTATTTTCAATACATATTTGTTGAATGAATGAATGAATGAATGATGAATGAGTAAAAAAATATTAAGCTTAGGATCAATTAAATGACCAGATCATTTTTACCTAAACTCCTACCAAACAAGATCTCCTTTCTTACTCAAACTTGATCTGTTTTTTTAAATT